TTTGCCCGTCCTCCAGCTATGCCCGGAGGGCGATGTAGACCGTAATGACCCATCTGTTCACCGCTGGCACCTGGCAAACTTCTAATGAAGACAGATGTGGGTCTCCCCGGTAGGAGAAGGCTGCAGGGTGTTAATGAATCCACCTAATGGTCACTACCTGCCACTGTTGACTGATTGATGACCTGAAGGGTTAAGTTTCAAAAGCAAAAGACAAGTATTTCAAGTATTCATTAGTCTTGCTAGGCTCTCTCTATCGCGCTCTCCAAAATACACACTGGAATGTCCTCCTTTTCATATTAAAAAAAAAATCTTTGGATAACCTGAAATAAACTAATGAAAAAAAAAGGTTTTCCACTTTATTTATTGCCCAGTGTCATAAAACCCTCAAATATCCATAGTAATTTATGCATACATGGTGACTGACACTACCAGTAAAGTCAAAAACTGTAAAGGAAATATTTAATGTTGCAAAAGCCCTAAAGGATTCATAGCTTTTTATAAAGCACATTCTGATAGTGGTGCAGGAAAGAGCTTTTACAGTGAAGTTCAATCACAAGACCACAAGGCTAATGGATTTTGTGTAATGATCACTATGGGAGTTATGGAGATGGAACTCATTTTGCCAATTCCATATGAAGGTGATGGCACCACCAAAGCCATATACTTATGAACCAAGTATTGATGTAAATCCAATCACTCATCAATTCAGGTAGAGAGCAAATGTCAAGAAATGCTGCAGTGGGAAAACCCTGGAGAGGAACTCTCTCTAGAGAAGAAAAATATAGATATATGCTATTGTGAAAAATGTCATGACTTACTGAGTTACCTTGCAGTGAAATCTGCACAGAATGCTGCCAGGATTCACCAAGATTTCATTAATAAAAACACATAAGAAAGCTAAGTCACCTTGGATCCTAAGTAATAAAGTGATATGTAAGTTTTCCAAAACACTACAAAAGAATCCATTGATTTAATTTTTGATGCATCTTCATTAGCTGGAGACAAGAGATCCAAACAGTTGCGAAGTTTTTAAAAAAACGGAAGCGCTAGGTACAGCACACAGAGGAAGTGTTAAAAATTGTTGATTTTGTACTCAAGGGATTATTCACAATGTGATTCACAAATCCAAGTCTTCACAGGCTAGGAATATGCCCTTTGCACTTAAAAACTAACAAGGAAAACAAAACACTTCAACAAGTATAATCACTGCAATAGCAGATGTGCAGAACATTCTCAAATTCTACATCTCTCATCAGTTAGCTCGCTTGCAATTGAGCCCTGCAATTTACTAATAAAAAATATTTATGATTTCAGCAAAATATTTTTGTTAGGCAAATGTGCTCTATTTTTAACCAAAATATCCCATTACCCTTAAATGTGTAATTGCAATTGGGGAAGCATGGTTTTAAAACCTTACAGTCCATGCAGAAATTACAATCATACTTCGTTAAAATTAGGGCAGGCAGTGCACAACTCTAATAACACCTAGTGAGTAATTCCTCCCCTCAGCACACYTTTTTAGCCTCTTTTAGACAGAACCTTTCATCCATATAAGTCTACTTCACATAAACCATTCTGTTCACAGAAAAGACACACTCGTAAGGAAAAAATAAAAATGCAGTTGCATAATTAAGATAGCATAAGAACTATATACACAGGAAAGAAAAAATGATGTACTGCCATTCCTCCTTTTTCCAAGGCACCAATCTTCACAGGATCAGAGCCAGATAAGGGACCACTAACCTGTTGCAAAAGGGACAATGTAGCACATCCACAAGTCACTAGGTTTTCTGCCATTTTKTTTGGGCAAAACAAATCTGATAATTACCAGACTGGCAAAAGGCCCATCTCAAACACAGAGACRGCAGAGCTGTTTTATTTAGTATGGTACCAGAGTATATTTGTCATTTCAGAATACCTGAAATTCATAGGGCTACATATATTTGTCAAGCTCRATGCAGACATATGCTTAAGCACAATAAAGCAATGAAAGACATTTCCCCTTTCTTCCAAATCTGATTATAGATGGCTACAGAAACCAGATTATCCTTCTTCTCCAAGTTTTTGTCTGAAGATTATTACAGTGACTCTCTCTTTAAATAAAATCCATTTTTTCCATTTACATACATTCTCTAAATCTTTCATCAGTCCTATTATCTTTCTATGACCTACCTCTAATTTGTCTGTATCTCTTGAATTTTAATGTTTTAAATGAGACACTGTGCTCCAGGTAAGGTCTGCGCTACGTAAGGTCTACACTAAGTATTATTTCTAATGCTTTTCATGTTATAGTTCTACGTGCACATGTCAGTAGAGCACTTGCCTTTTTTATCGCACTGCAACATTTTTGACACATGCTCAGCTCAGAAATTCTTGCTTCCTGGCAGCTTCAGAGGTATTCCAAGCAAGGCTACCTAGAAGTCATCAATATTTATGAAGAGAAAATGGCAGCCTTTCTCCAAGCTCTGATCATTTTKGTTAATGGTCACTAGTAAGGTTTCACTTCCAAGTGAAACCTCAGCCTACAGTTGTCTGAAATGAATCAGGCAAAAGGACAAGTTTTGCACATGTGACCTTTCCTTATCCTGCACATATGTGGAGAAAATTGCTTTTCCTGCTCCTTCTCACAACTTTTTTCTTTCTTTCCAAGCTCTTTTCTTTCCRCGACAGCCTTACTCGAGCTAAAAAGCCTGAGCTCCACACATGAAAATAGCCACAGTGAATTAGGCCAAACGTTCATCTAGGCCAGCACCTTCCCTCTAAATGTCACCAGGGCACATGTTTTACAGACAAGCATAAGGACAGGGCAAGCAGAGGAGACACTTCTCTTTAATGATCTCCTCTCTTTTGTCCATTTTCAGCATTGGAACAATATGAGCCAGATGTCATTCATACAMACTGAGAAACATCCACTGGATTTACTTTCCCTAAGTCTTCAGTCTTCTAGAAGTATTACAAACTTTCAGCCTTCTTGTGAATGGAAGATGTTGCATTCTGCTGCTACACCTAGGAAGTCTTCTTTTATTTTTTAATCATGAGACTACTTTTATGAATTTCCCCATCAAAAAAAAAAAAAAAAAAAAAGAAAGGTGAAGATAGAGCAGGAGAATCAATTTTTAATGTAGATAAACCCATGTAAAATACATTACATATATATGTGTGTATATACACACACACTCTACATTAAAATCCAACATTCCAACTTACTGAAATTCAGACTCAAAAGAAATCTAAAAATCAAGAGACATAAAAATTCACAGCAAAATCAGAAAGAAAACCCTCGTATCTCCCAAGAGGACACTGTAATAAGCATACAGCTGCAGCTACATATTTCTAAGTTTGTGATCCTAAAATAGAATCACTTCATGAACAAAAGTGACGCAATTTGCGGTCTGTTCATCWGAACACGCTATTTCTTGTATGCATGCAAGTCTAGTCATCCTCCTCTGACAACTTTGAACCTGTTCATCAGCCAAATTTGACCACACAGGGATATGAAATTCTCCCAAGCTTTGTGAAGGGGGGGAAGTGGGGGGGGGAAGATACTATAAAGAGATGAAGTTACTGCTCTGTTGCTGCTTTAATCAAAATGCTGCATTGTTAGCTCAAATTTTATCAGAAATTTGTGGGTCTGCAGGAAGATCAATGTCATGAATGCCTTGACAAAAGCAAAAAGCACAAACTAGCATTTATTCCTTCCTGGACACAAGCAAACCCAGTCTCCAAACTCAAGGTTAAATTTGCTCAAGTCACATGGCATGTATCCATGTAATAATAACGCATAGCTAATGTTTACGATTACCACATTAAATCACAAATCTTATTTTACAGAGTTTTTGGTGTGATAGTTTTATACTAAAATTTCACACACGCACACATCAAATCTGAAGAGAATATTGCCATGACGTATTTCTTGTAATACGTCTTGTAATACAAAAACATAAAGCATTCCTTCACTATCTTTTTATTTGACCATACAGATAGAAATATAGTTTTCTTCTATCTATATGCACAAATMTAGTTACCTTTTCCTTTTTTACCGCTTCCTGCCTCAACCATCAATTCTTCCCTCCTTCCTGGATCTATCTAGTTTCTTGCATTGTTTTTTCCTCAATAAAAACACCCATCTCATCTCTATTCTTTTGCATTCCCTGCTGCATATCCCTTTATGTGATTCTTCCTGTCTTCCCCTTATGTCAAGGGCAGCTCTACATACTTGGGAGAAACAGAATTGTTTCTTTGAGACAAAGGGATTAAGCATGAAAAGTTAGGAAGTCATAACCCCACATTAAGACCTCTTATCATGGCACATGTCTGATCATATGCCAAGAAAACAGCTGCCCCCCACTAATGCAGTTCTACCCATTCATGTCACTGCTTAGTCCTATGCCCTTTGCATGAGATAAGGAATTAATTTTCCCATTAATTATAGTTTGAGAGCATCCCAAATAAGAAAAAGTAGCTCACAATAAATCTTTACAATATAACCCCATTACTCCAGGACACCTTCTCAGAGAGCTTTTGSAGACTTATGCTATCCAAATATATAAATACACAAAAAAATGTGTCTGTACCCTTTCTCTCCACAAATCTTCCTAACAGTTTCAAAATTCTGCCACACAACACARAAACATCCAAGATACTACATTTATTCAGTTTATATTTTAAAAGGAAACAAAACAGCAGCATCAGTAATTTGAGCTATATATATTTTAATAAATTGAAACTGATGAATTCTGAGATAAATTATGATTATGAATCATTCCATTTTGATGCATCTATAAAATAAAGCTACAAAAATATGTTTTGCAACACATTAAAAGCTTATTCTCTTTTATTATTTTAGTAAGTTTATAGTAAAAAAAAAAACTATTAATTCTTACCTAGTTTTGTTCATTTTCAGCATAAATTCAAGTATTTTTTCCATCCTAAATACAAGATCTTCATACCTGAAGCGAGGGTATAAATTATTCTGGTAGAAAAAGCTCAAGTGGCATTACCTTCTTTTCCTCCTGTAATTCTATTGCTTCATGATACCGTGGGATAAAGAGATATTTTCTTTTCTTTTCTTCTTTTWTCATGTTGACATTTTCATTTAGCAATGCTGCTTCCCTACAGAAAGTTAAAGGAGAGATTTAAGAGTCTTCATTTTTAAATCTCTCTCTAAATACATTCAGTGAAAACATGTTTTTCTGTTACGAACAGTTGCTGGTTACAATAACTAATAAAATCTTAGATTACAGGAGAGGCCTCACCTTATTCTAGAAATATACTGTAAGCCCCAAGAATTGGAACAAGTCATGTTTCAATAACGACAAAGCCAAGCACCTGTTATCACACAGGATGACTAACAATCACCCAATGGAGAGAAAAAAATTTAAAAAAAAATAAAAAAAAATAAAAAGCATGCAAAGACAAGAGAAAAGAGTGTTTCTGAGATATGCTACTGAAAATCATATAGAACAAAACTTTGAGTGAGTTATGAGGTACTCATTTCAATTCAGGTGTTAACTCTGAAATTAACCAAAACAGATTAATCAATATCAGAGGTAGTTTTTAATAAAAAAAAAAAAAAAAAAAAAAAAAAAAAAAAAAAAGAGAAAACTCTTAGTAGCAACAACTCTCTTAAGAGCCCCTTTATGATTTAGTTTTAAAGAAAGTTTTTTGTTGGTGGTGGGTTTTTTGGGTTTTGTTTTGAAGTTTTGAAGTTTATGATAACTACTTCAAATGACATTCCACTATGTCTGGGGAAGAACCTGGAAAATCATCACAGATGCTCAGACAGGAATTTAACACCAATCAACCTGCAGAAAGACACACAGAAATCTCTGACACTCTGACATATCTAAAAATTGGAGATTGGACATATCTCCAATGCAGAGACTGAAAACTAAGGCCATAGTTCGTAGATGAGTTAAATATAGAGGTCTAAGTAATGTTTATTTTTAACTTTACTCCCAAATTCTATAGACCTAGGCCTCTGAAGTATGCATAGAATGATTTCCATTCAGACACAAACATCAGCACTTAAGTACCATTACGTAGAAGCACTTGTCTTTAGAAGTACACTTTAGATATTAAAGAATACAAGTTTAGAGCCTATACTAAGAAAATGCTACTTAGACATTTAAGGTGAGAAAAAGATTCAGACTTGCAAGACTCCACATTCTACACATATCATGGATGAGAGCTACATGCTCAGGTGTCTTTTTTAAAGAGTCCAGGCCATTTTGTGCCTACTAACACAACTCTCAGTGGCAGCAGATGGACCACACCACTCTTAAATCAGCCAATGGAATCACTGGAAGATATTTTTTAAATCTTGTCTTTCTCCAAGTTCTCATGCTAACTTCTTATTTTACCATAAAAATACAATATTAGGAGGCACAATGTGAATATTTTTTCACTTATTTTTTCTTCACTTCTTCTTATTATTTTTTCTTCACTTATTATTATTCACTTATTTTTTAGAGAAATAAGAGCCAGCCATTTGTACTCATGAGACACAGAGGAAGAAGAAATGTTGATACTTAGCTTTTTATAGTATCATAATGAGAGCTTCTAATGTAGTAGAAATATATAATTTTTGGTACCTTAATAAACATTTCCACAGAAATTTACAGACATTAATTCCCTACAACAATCCCTGCCTTATAACAAGGCTATGAGGTCTGCTAATAAAGAGGTACTTTCTATCTTCCCTATATCTCCTACACTGTCACTTAAGTCTTCACACCCACCACATGTTCCCAATAAGTTCACTGGGAACAGGTGGAGCACAGAGCCTCCCCCAGCCTTGATTTGCTCAGGGATCTGCAGACAGGATCCCATAGGATGTGGCTCTGACAGGCAGTGGAGCTCAGGAGAGCAAAGCTACTTGATATTCAAGATCACTCTCCTCTAAGCACGGGAACAGCCTATTCCAACATGCAAGAGGGCTATCGGCAGCAGAGCAGCCTGCACAAACACCCCAAAGCTCAGCCAAGTTACGCAAAGTAGGTTATATTTTTTATAAGCTGTCAAGTATAAAGTACATTGGCGTTCAGTCAAATAATTCTTTAAAATTGTGTTCATTGCTCTGAAACCACAGCAAAATTAATAACTGCAAGGATTATGTTTCCAATGAAACAAGTAGAAGTGTCTGCATATGTGAAAAGGAAGTCTTCATGAAGCATATGAGCTGAATAACAGCAAATGAGTCTGAATACCTGGTGGAAAAACAATATTTAAAACATTATTTTAAAATATAACCAAAATATATTAACTTATATCAGATAAAACTAAAGGGTATAGCAAACTAATTCTAAAGAACAAACAATGMTGAAATCACTAGCTAAAACCAAAATAAAATGTCCTGGTATGTTGTTACTTACTGAGTTAAGTCATATTGTCCTGGTCCTGGCCCTTCTTGAGGTTTAAATTCATGGCGTTTTCCAGTTAAATTACCAAAATGTATTCCTTTATACTTCAAGGTAGAATAACTTGCATCCTAATGTAAGGGGGGGGAAAATGAATTTGAGTATTTGCAGTTTGTTGGCCACATATTTGTTCTTTCTACACAGTACAGAGCTAAAATATATGTCTATTAGCCAAAAATATTTACATGCTATAAATATATAAAACATGAGATTTACTACAGTTTATAGATGCTTGTATGTATATAGCTTACTATATATACTGCTGTTGCACTATAAACCACACCATGATTTAATCTAAACGTATTAAGAAGACCTCCAAGCATGTTTTCACCTCATTTACACAACTCTACCCCTTTTCACTGCTCTCTGCTAATGACAATTGTGAAACTACCAATTTCTCTGCTAACATAAGCCTGTTTCACTAACGGTGTTGTGATGGGTAATGCTGAAATTACAGGAACAATAACTTCAGTTATCGGCTAGCAGAGCTTCAGGAAYATAGACTCCAGTCAACACTAGTGCAACCCAGCAGGCAGGTGGCTTGGGATTCTAGAGAGCATATTTCAGTATAGAAACACTTCCCCCCTGTCCCCAGTGTTTAACTTGAATAGAAGTGAAAATCTAACTTGAATAGAAGTGAAGATTTTTCACTTTAGCCCCCTACTCTGAGGTGCTCTTTAAGTCAYATACAATGCACCAAAGTATAGATATTTCTCCCAGAGATGCAGTGATAATTGACATAGGAAGGAGAACAGGAAAAAAAAAAAAAAGGCACTGATTAGCAACATGTTTCCAAACTATATAGAGTAACAGCATGGAACAGAATGCATAAGAATRGCAAATTACACTGTTTGCACCCATCTACATACTCATCTTTCTAGTTGCCAAAATACGTCCAGTTATATTCTTTTCAACAGGTCTKGTTAAAACAACAGTTCCATTTCCTATGAGGCACATCAAAAAATATCCAATTTTATGTTCACATATCATCATTTTGTTCTAATATTCATGTTATACTCTTCCCACACATGTTTTGACCTAAATTACAGGGTTCAAACTCAAATTCATGTATACTACAGCCATGRGTTGTAAATGGCTGGGAGATGTGTACTAAACTGGATCAAACAGATTGCCTCACAATGGTAACTGGTTCACAAAGGTAGAAATATATATCTGTATTTGCTTCCMCTTTTTTTTCTTTAAGATTTATATTCAACTCAAATATATCTGTCATTCAGTTCAACTATTACAGGTCATCCTATATTAGTTAAAATCATACAAAAGCACAAATTGAAAGCAATTGGAATTTGCACGAGAACTTATATAGGTTAGTACAAAATTCAGTAAGAACACTTTAATCAAAGTTTATTGCAAACCCCTACCTTCCCAAAATATTTTTTTATGACCAAAGAAACAAGTCAGACTCTGATGAAGAACTCACTGGGATATGCCAGTTCCCCAACAAAAGTCACTTTTCATAGGATGGTACAAGGAAATATTCCTGAAAAACATCTCGGAGATTTCACGTAGAGTTCTTCTTTTTAATCAGGTATATCTTACCTTACTTGCCCAAAACTACACTCTCATTTGAATTACTACTTGTCTATAGAATCAAGACCAAGCTAAATATCCACATCACAAGAACCCAAGTAGGATGTTTCACGTATGTGTATTTCAAGACTGACATGCAACCAGTTCAGCAAATCCATTAGGCATCTRAAACTCCAGTCACTTATCCCCAAACCATCAACATAATCCACAGCAATTCTTACATTTTCTTGGTGTTCACAAGCTTTTTCTCTCTGTGGTCAACACAGCATTATTCCCAAAGGCAAGTTAATTTTCAGACTAAAAGTGTTACAGCACCATCAAGTGGCTTCTGCAAGGCATCACCATRTTTAACAGAAGAAAATATCTAGATACGCACAGAATAGGATTTTTTAAATTAAATGGTCAAAGATTAATCTGTAGGAATCTCATTGATTTTGAATTCTATAAAAATAAAAAGCATGATACACTTTTTTTTTAATTTTGTGAAAGTATCTGCCCCTTAATATCATAGTAATAAAAGAATCTGATGATATTATTAATGGGATAAGAACCTTCTCATGGCAGGAAAAGTCCTGYAAATACAAACTATACTGGCAGGGCGCTCCAAGAGTTGGATGCCCTAATCTTCAGCATATCCTCTATGATCTGTGAAAACTTTGAGCAAAAAGTAGCCTTACATCAGTAAGACTTAATTTGTTTGGCAAATAAAAAGATAAAATGAACTTGAAATGGAATCCCATCCAGAAGGAAGCCATAAAAAAAAAAAAAAAGGGCATTCCTAGTCATATTTTATCATCTACAGAAGCATGGTCAGCACTTGATTTACTGTGAACTTGGAAAATCAATTTTAGAACCTTTTTCCTTAAGCTTAAAAACACAAAAAATCTTTTGTATATTTATAATTTATGCATATGCTTAAATATTATGCTTCCTCTTTACTAAGACTCGCGTGTATGAGGCCTTTAGGTTACTACTGCTGTTCAATATTTCAGTAACTTAAAGTACCCTAAGCACTTCAATGTCGCTAGTCCAGCAGTCATGTAACATTCTCTTAGATACAATGTAGAGCCTAAGAATAAAAATATAGGGTTAAAAAAGAAACAAGTTATAGTAATTATAATACCATAATTGAGAAGCCATGTGATATGCATCTCATAATAATCCCATTACAGTACATTTTTATAGAATATTATCTCATTTCGTGAAGACAAAATAAAAGGACTAGATTATTAAAACATTTGACTGAGGAAAGATGATGGTTTGATTGCCTTGATGCCTTTTTTCTTTTTAATGGCATGGAGTGAGTAGTATTTTCAGCACAACAACAGTCAAAACAAGTAACATCTAATATAAGTTAAAGGTATCAAATCAGAAATAGAGAATTAACATAAAGTCTTTTTTTTTCCCCAAAAAGTAATGGTATCCGCTTCTTCTTAAATTTCCTAAGGTTTCTTCATGATAGGTACAATCTAATCTAATATAACAATGTGAAAAAAAAACAAGGACTAATGATAATTCCTAGCAGCAAGTAAGTATGGCAGTATAAGTATGTATGAAGAGYGTCTCTGGATTAAAAACACATGCCACATCAGTTTCCGGAAAGAGAAATATGATTTTTAAAAAGAAGTACAAAAATCCATTTAATGGCAATATAAGAGTTCCTTACCACAGTCATTTGTCCTATAGATAATTTTGATTGCCTAAAATGTTATAAAACTAGCTCACTTCTAATTACATCTAATAGCATAGGTGTTCCATGTTATTATTAAAACATAAATATGAGGTAATGAACAGTTATAGACCACACAGAACTTTATTATTCATCTTCCTTCATCTTAAATTACCAAGGATTCATAAAGAATCAGCAACTTATTCTGTTCAATTATATCAGCAGCTATTGTTTTTTACAGAGAGTAAATCATGTACTTCATTAAACTGATGCTTTTCTGCCAGATCATAAGAAAGTATAACTTCTAAAATATTGAAATTCAATATCTAAATATGTATAAATCTATTTATGTCAATGGCTTATGGCCAGCAGMAATGTGACAGTAATAAATTGCATTTATAGCAATTAAAGGTACTAATTTTTAAAGATGAACCAGATTAGCACACTTTTTCAAACTTAACAACAACATTGTCTTATACATATATAAAATAAGCACATTCATACACACATCCCTTTAAGGGCTGCAAAAAATATATATATAAATTGGCTRTTACTTAACTTACCAACTTGCACATTACTCAGGTAAAGTATCCCATCTGTAATGGAATTTAAAAGCTTTTTAAAAATACTGACAAAGACTAAAGAATAAATTGATGCACTCTTAGTAACTCTAAATCACCTGACTCTTTCTGCCCAGAAGTGTTGACAATACCAACTTCAAGGTCATTGTCAACTTCGTAAGTCATTAGCAAATAAAATATGGCTTAATTGGAGCAAACTCAGCAAGGAGCTGCATCATTTTAAGTGAACAYGGCAATATAACTTGCAGAAGAATTACTAATCACCACTCCCGTTGACAACGAAATGGATGAAGAAGGTGCTTTGTAACTTTTTTCTATGACTTTCCCGTAATTAAATATGGAAATAGATTCCRTGAAGAATTAAAAGTCCCCGAGTGCATTGATTCAGGCACTAATGGGCTGCCTTCCAGGGTTACAGCACACAGGTAGCTCCCAGCATGTCACCCACATTAGCCGATATATCAGTGTCAGGCTCCGGCAGGACCCTGCGCTTGAATACCCAGCTCTGGAAAGCAGGTTTAGGCTAATTACGCAGGCTGATTTAAAAGGATCTATCTTCCAYATTCTGAAAAATTACCTGAAGATTTATGTGCGGTGACCAAACAGCTAGACTTAAACCCAAGATCCAGATGTCTAAAGATTTATGCAATTGTATTACCCACACATGATGTTTATACAGCCCTTGTAACCACTGTCAATGGCTCATTCAAAGCACCTTTTCAAATAAAGCACCTTTTAAATATACAACCRCATTTGAACATACAGCAGGAGGTTTTTTCTTGTACAATTAAAAATAGCACAATTCTACACCCACACAGAAAGTAGTATAAACACTCTAAGAATTCTATCATTAGGAGATTATGACATTTAAATGAAAGGAGCTGCTCTCAGCAGAGACCTCTTAATGTTGCTCTTCTGCTCCCAAAATTTTATTTTCTCACTTTGTTCCACTGTAATTCTTCACTTTCTCCAGCTCTCCTTCCAATCTGTACTTGTGGGCAAACAGCCCAAAATGCTGCAAGTAGGTCCCAGCCTGATGTACATTTCTAAAGCAACTGCCAGTCTAGCAAAACATATTCAGACTCACCATAAGAGCAACTGAAAATGAACGGCTGCCTTTTAAAAAAACAACAATTTCATGATATTTCAGGTGCATATGTTTAAACAGCTAAAATATTTGCATTATAAGTAGCAATCTTTTCAACTGAAGATTTTGCCAGTCTCTGTATCAGAGGGTCTGAAATAGTATAAAGCAAATTTATTGCTCTTCCTTAGCACAGCATACRGGCATTAATCTATAGTAACTCTTCAGTATGTGCTTAGTTTGAAATACAGAATCAGCCCTACTGCAATCAAATGCAAGAATTGAACATTAATAGTTAAATATGTTTAAGTGCTTTGCAAGACCGAGTCCTACTTTTGTTTGACAGTGAGTATATGCTTTGAAAATTCATTGCTTATCTGTACCCATAGTAAATTAAGCCAGAACTCAGGAATCATAATCTCCACTCAAAACAGAATCAGAAGCATATTAAGAAAAAAAAATCACAGCATTATTTTATTAAATGACAGATTTAGGAAAAAAAGTTGAGCATGTGGATGAACAGGTTCCAATGAATAACTTAAATATTTCCTTCTGTACTAACAGAACTCTAATCCTTTATTTGACTAGTCTAAAAGTGTGGTAACAACCCATGACCAGTATTTCTATCCTATGTTCAAGTCTAAAACCAGACTAAGAAAGGTCAAAGCAATCTGAGATACAAAAAAAAAAAATGAAAAAAAAAAACCCCAAAACTGTGAGCAGAAGCCAGGCAAAACTATATAAAAAATTAACATTGAATCAAAATAAACAAGGCCATACTGTAATACATATCTGCATTCTGCTCATAAGAAATGGTAGAGATAAGAAAATGACTGCTAAGATGATCAGTAGTAAGGGCTTAACTTAAAAACTACGGAGCAAGTTAAATCCCTTGCTGAAGTTATGGTTCCTGAAATACAAGCTACTAATTATGCTATTGAAAGATGCCAGCCTTTTGGCATGAGGTTATTCATTATTTCCATTCATAGCAGCTTTCCAAAGCTCCTCTTTGTCCTTAAAATTCCTATTATTTCAAGAAAAGAGAGACATAAATACAGTTGAGAAAACTTCTGAAGTTCTTAAGAGAAGATTTATGATTTAGCAGCCTGCCTTCTATATGGAATAATTATCCCAGAAGTAGTCAACCTTCTTCAAATATCGCTCTTGCCCACACATATATTAAGCATGAAAATCGGCATGGCGAAGACACGTGACACYATCAGGATTGAGATATCACAATTATCCAGTACTGAAGATCTGATAAAAATTACCCATTCTTCTGACAGAGTTTTGTTAAGCTCCATTGTACCAAARTTCAGTAGCTTTTACACTAAAATCAGAGTTGGCATTTACAAAGCAACTTCCATCTACATAGAATTCTCACCCAACAGAGCTAAAATGCTATCCTGCAATACTCCAAATCTAGAAATTAGGAACTATTATTTCTGATTGAAGCTCTGACACTGACAGTCATCATAAACTTCTTCAACACAACACTTACTCTCTTGCTTTACTTCATTTGCCTAACTATAATAATAGCTATTGAAATGAAGAATCTGTGTAAGGACTATTTTCATTTGCTCACAGTGCTCAAAAACACCATGTAGTTTGGTAGTTTTGTTGCAAAACTGGCGTTTTGCAACAGCAATACAATACATCCACAGAGAATGTGATTCCAAACAATAATGTTAAATACTGCAGGCAGAGCATGAAATATTTGGGGGGGGAGGCAAATTGGTTCCATAAAAGACTTTGCTGCCCCCTAATGCAAATTTTAAGAAAATAATTCCAGGGATAAAAACAATACTCAAAAAGAATCATCTGTAATAAAGAACAGTGAACATTAGCTAGTAAGATTTTTCAAATAGAAGATGGATTTTTTTAATACGCAATTACTTTGAGAATATACAACAGTAACATGAGGAGAAAAAAAAATCACAACCTGCTCAAAATTTAGATATCACAGGCAGAAAAGAAAAAATTATATATAATATAATGCATGCCTTACATTATATTGCATGCTGAATTACAATGCCTCCAAATGSATTTAAAATAGAACTGTTAACATGTTAAAATTAGAAGAGCATCTTTCTGACTGGGTATCCTTTTAGTTCTAACAGTGATATAAACTGACTGAAAACTAAAAGATTTTAAAAGTACTGAATTATTTTAATAATATGTTAAATTAGAACAAAAAGGCTTCAGAGTAAAAAAGTGGTAATCACTAAACTTTGAAATTATCATATTTTGCAGTAGACTTGTCTAGATTTGTCAACTATATTGTTAGCACAAGTTATGCAAAGCCCAAGTATCTTTTCAATAAAACATGGAMAAAATATCCCTCTCCCTATGTTCAATGATATCATTTAATAAGAAAAAAAAAATAGAGAATTGAAGAGATGAAGTTTAWAATCATTATATAAAAAGTAAAATCTTGCTACTTACAGAAAATATTATCTTAATAATGACAGAACTTATTTAAATGGAAAGTTTAAAATCTTTCACAAACTAACTAGTCACCACAGGAAGAGTTTATCCAGCTTATGARCTTGAACTCAGTTCCACCTCTATCCATTAAGCTTCTTTACTGCCACTTGAAGTATTACCTGCTACTCCATTCTCTTTCTGTCCAAGCTGAAAAAGCAGAAGCAGTTCTTTTTCAAAGCCACAGATTTTCTCCTAGCTTTTTAGCCAAAATAAGTACAAAAGCAGGTACTACTTGAGACTACATTAAACTTATAACCATATCTTTCAAAGCATCCCTTTTTATAGTGATACTAGTTCTTATTCTGGCAGGAAACACAACAGGACAACTTCAAGAAAAAAAAATTGTCATTATTTTGTTATCTTCAGTGACATAATAGTCATCAAAAGTTACTTACAAATAGTGGGCGATAATAAGCTGGGCCTAATGTCAGGTCTCTCGGAGGAGGGTCTTGTTTTTTAAGAGTGCCATCCTCAGCTTCCTCATATCCAAAAGCCTGACATGGAGAAGGAATAGAGGGAACATCCACCTTTTTGCGGGTTTTTAAAATATCTGCAGCTCTCTGGGGAAAAAAGAAAAGAAATTCACACATACACCCACATTATATATACACATTCGAGTAGTTTAACAGTAAGTTAACAAACAGTGAATAAACTGAAGATGAGTATCCCTGAAGCAATGAAAGGCCTATACTATACAAAATCACATATTTTTCACTTTATAGTATGAGGGTTAAGTTCTCAAAATACTATAGAACCAATAGGTAATCCCACAACCGTGATAACTTGATAATGTCACATCTGCAGACAAGCAGCAGTGATTCAAGGTATCTCTTAGCATTGTTACAGATTTCACAGCATAAACTAATTATACTGTGAAACTATTTGAGGCCGTGACTAACAGGCTTAATCACATAGCTCCTGACTCAACCAAAAATGCCGTGTTTCCCTCCAGCTTCTGCATCACACTTAAGCRTGTTTAACATGATTGTAGCCTCAGGTGTTTGTAATCACTAGAAGGTCTGAGTATGTTGGCTCTACCTACCATTTAGTAGCATGAAAAAAACACAGCTACTTCATTTAACACCTTCCATAGCTCCTGCAAACTCACTTTCAAAAATTTGCTGCTCTACCAAGCTCAGTAGCTTTTTTTTTATATATATATATATATATATATATAGATTACCATTAATGGCTGGATTTTTCTTTTTTTCTTTGGATATGTTAGGTTACAGATAACTTGTAAAGCAAAATACAATTCAACATCTTCAAATATTTGGTAAAAAGAAGGTTTTGCATATTGTGAACCCAAACATAAATATGCAAGTGGCCAGTCATTTTTGCTCTTGGCAAGGCTGAGGTTAGCTTTTCATAAGGCTGATAAATAAAACTATCAAATATAGTATTGTAAACTTGTATTCATTTATTTCTAAAAGGAATTAATGTTACACAAGCTTTAAAAATTAGCATACCAACTGACTCTGCTCTTGAAAATCTTGCTGCTTTTTGCTGTTTGCAGCCATCTCCATTGTAGCAGCATGGTTATAGCTGCCAGGACCTGGAGTAACTGTGCTGATATCTTTGAAGCGCTTCTCTTTATTTTGCAGACTCTTGCCACCTTTTATAGTGTCCTAAAATACATTTTTAAAAACATAAAAAACATAAGCAAGGATCAATTAGGAACCTCATAACCTAGACACAGCTATAAAAATATATATATTATTTTATATTAAATCAGTATAGGAAATGATTATCTAAGCTGTTAYACATGATAAGAAAAAGTCACCACAGATCAAGAAGCTTCTTTTGTATTTTTCAAGACTTTACTGTTTCTAAAGTTTTGTTAAGATATCCTAGATATTTCCAATAAAATTAAATAATGGTCAAAACTGTTTTTAAAAAAATACATAAAAAAGTTTTGCTATTAGTTGACATATAATGAATGGTAAAGTCCCTATCATTCATCAAGCCCTCAGAACAGTAGTTTCCAAACATACATACGCATGCACACACACGGAGAACAAAAGATATGCTTGCCCATTGTTCAAACTTTTTTTGACTTAAACATTTTAGTTTTGAGCCGCATGTATAAAATTTCAAGTACATCAAAAAAGAACCGATAGACTCTTTTTACTCCATTAAGAACTAAGAAGCTACAGCATTAATCTTTTGATACTTTCTGGAGAATTTACATGGTTTTACACATTAGTTCTACAGTAATGCTTAAAACAATGGATATAGCCTGTGGCAAGTTATACACAAAAAAAWTATCAACCAAGAAAAATAATTTAAAAGCAAAGGTGAAGTACTTGACTCTCTACTTTAAATGGGACCTAAGATACAAACTGAAATAAAAGCTTTAGGGTAAATCAAATATAACTTCATCATTAGTGCCACTACTACGACTGTCAACCCTGGAAAATGCATTTAAAATGCATTTCCTGAGTACATACTGAAAGTGATTTTAATAGATACAAAATGTMCCATAAGGATTGCCTTTTAAAAAWWTTTTTTTTTAAATCGATATCATCTCAGATGATAGCACAAGGCATTATTTACTCAGTATTATGACTTGTGTAATGAAACACAACGGTGTAGAGCACTAAACTAGTGGAATTACCTAATATGACCTCTCTCMGTTGAAATGGAAAGAAAATACATTGTCCTGCAAAGCCAGTCCTCTGACACTCTTTGTAGCCTATTCTTCTCACCACTATATGCCCATAGAACAGTAATCCAGAACATCTAGTGAGCAACCAATATGCAGATTAAAGTGCCAAGAAAAATAATACTTGACATTTACATAATCAATGTCTACGTCGTTAATTTCAACATATTATGTCATTTAATCTTTTCCCATTGTAATYTAAGCAGAAGGAAGATTCATGAAGATAATAAATGAGGAGGAGCAGTAAAGAGACTTCATGACACACTGTACTATGACTTATTTCATCATTCTAATATGAGACTGAATTCAACAAAAATAAAGATAAAACTAAGTACATTACTTACCATGCTACTTCAATAAAGACTCTTGATTTATCAAGTAGACCTATGATTTAGTTCTAATCCTTTCTCTAGCTGCACTATTTTATATAATTTGTGACTCTTGATACTGATATTACTGAAGAGGCAAGCTTTGCTCTCTGTCTATGAAGAAACTGTAAATTTTACCTTCTATCTTAAAACTTAAAAGCCTGGATCCACTTTCTTTTTCTTGACATATGGACTTCATTATACATCTAAATATGGATTCCATTTCAAGTTCTGCAGATTGCTCTTCTTTGGGAGTAATAAGAAGAAACACTGCCTCAGGCAGACAGCTTCRCTGCTCGTCTTCCAGGAGCGAGGGACACTTTCCCGCACAGTCAATAAGTTTTGCCAGTAGACAGAGAAGTATCCAAAACCAAACCAAAACAAAAATCTACCCGTGCTGTCTCAAACAACTTAAGAAAKAATTAGCAAGATTCAACTCTTGAATTCAATAAAGGAACACAATTACAACAGCAATATTTTTGGTGCAAAGATGAAGAAGTGAGGAGAACTTACTTCTCTCCATAGATTTCACAAGATTCAAGTACAATACAGACTTGTTTTTAGCWCCTGATCCCAGCTTCCTATTCCCTAGCCACAAAACCAGCAGTSCTTTCAAGGATGCTAAACTTAATGTACTTGATGGTTACTTGTATCCTAACCAGTCAGTAAAAACTTCCTGCACATAAGGTCAAAAATAACAACTCTCTTCTGCAGGCTACACAACAGTTATTCATTGTATCGAAAAAGCCATTCTTGGCACATTGCCAAACCCACTGAGCCCCTTATACCCAAAACACGCAGTGAAAGGTAGCCAAATCCTCCCTGTAACTATTTTTCTGCATTTTTGTGCACTACATTTTTGCTATTGGAGCATAGAATTTCAATTCAGTTTATAGTAGTTAAATGCAATTAACTTATTTGTATGATTTGACTATGAAGAGTTGTGTGTGTGTGTGTGTGTGTGTGTGTGTGTGTGTTTGGAGTTTTGTTTTGTTTTAGAACAAAAAAGAACTACTAAATGTTTGTCTATCTTATCGAGGATAATATACAGGCTTTACAAAGTCTAGGTGGTTGTTCTCTTATCATGTTTCTGATATACTTTTCACATCAGTATCTTTTTAACACCAAGCATTCCAATCCCATTTTCCTGTTTCTTAGATTCTGCATCTATAAGATAGCATTAATATATTTGGTCATCATTTTTTTTTTTTTTTTTAAACTTAACTTTCACCCTAACTTTGAGGTTTTTCCCAGCTTTGCTAGCTAGAGCATGTACTTCCATGATCTTTCATGCATGCCCATTTTACTCCTATGTTTAGCTTATGTAACAGCCTCAGCACTGGGYTGGTTTATACAATCCAACAAGGGCACACACACCTCAGACATAAAGCCTGCCAAAATCTCCTGCAGATGAATTAAGGAGTCAGACCCAATCCTTGAGCTGTAAAATCTTGCTATGTTTCTAATTATGTAAACACAATATTAAAGACACCTAAGTATATGAAAAATATATAACTTCCTTAAATTACAAATATTCTCATTTTTGTTACTGTCATTTGGAGGTCAGTATATGAGCAAACTGCAGCAGTAAAATATTGCCTGCTTAGGAAGATCTCTATCTTTGCCCTCAACATCCATCAAATTCATTTTTCTTTTTCAGAGATAACCACTTAACAAACTGAATCCAAGAATCTTAGTTATTTAGACATTGCTCTCATTAGTTCATTAGGCTACAGAGAAATGTTTATCTATAGCATCATCTACAACTCAGAAAAAAAAAAAAAAAAAAAAGGAAAAGGAAAAAAAAAAAAAAACCAAGAAAATGTTTAGGTGTTATGACACCTGCCTAAAAAGAAAGTAATGCATAAGTGAAATATTTAAATATCAGGAAGGACTCATCTTCAGGGGCTACATCAAAAGTGTCTTACAAAGGAGAACAGGATAAATGACACTAAATAATAATTATAGAAATGACATCTTCCTATTTTTTCTCCATTTTTAACCAACTTGTGAAAATTATTATTCCAATCAACTTGGTTTTAATAGTATTGTTGATCATTTCCATTCTGGAGCAATGTTTCAAACTTTATTTTTATGCAATCAGTGCAAGTTTACCTGTGTTCTGACAATATTGTAGTATCCTGGTCCTGGGATGGTGTCATCTCTATTTCGAGTAATAAATGTCAAATCTCGTCTTGTCAAAGAAAGAAATGGCGCATACCCATCTGGAAACAAACAAACGAAAAAATGCACATATCTTGGAAAAGGTCTTTTGAGCATCAAATTATTATTATTTAATAATTGTAACAGTTAATTCATATAATGCATACGGTAAAATCTGCTTAAAGGTGAAGCAAATGGTGCTTCAAGGCACTTACCTAGAAAGTGACTACTCAAATGCTTAAAAAAACACACACTTCAGATAACACGGATACGCTCATAGTTTGGGTCTAAAAGATAAATGATCTTTACTCTGATTTCTTCAGAGAAAGAAGATTCACAGAACCTGTTACAGATGACTCCTACCGCCATAAGTAAATGGCTGAATTAAAAAGATTTTTTTTTTCCTCCGCACCCTCCTCCTTTCTTTTTCCTTTGCACGTGAGGCTTTTTGGTAACACAGGGCACACAGGCCAACTCTGCAGGAGCTTACCTGGGAACACACATCTACGGATGTATAATTTCAGCATCCCAATACACACATTATATGGATCCTGCCTTTCATTAATCTGTTGGAATTTTTGTTTGTTTTGTTTATTGCAATGAGCAAGGGAAGAGGGGAAAAGTTTATGGACTTGCTCCACATTCTCCTGTTTSTTACAAAGATCTGAACAGCACTTCAAAATTCCCCATTTCCTTTTACAGCCAGGCTGTTGTTTGGTTAGGAACCAGTTCCCGTTGCAACTCAGACGTCAGGACTTCTCCTCCACAGCCTGCATTACAGTTGCCACCCATTTTATTCAGAAATTAAGGKCACGCAAGCCGGGCGCGCCGGCCCTTACCTGCCCTGCGCCGCCACTCCAGCCCCACGCGGTAGGAGCCGGGCCCCACGCGGGGCCCCGTGCAGCCCGCGGGCGGCCTCAGCGCCCAAGCGGCGCCCCCGGGCATGGCCCGCCCCCCGCCGCGCCCCCCCCCAACGGCCGCGCCCCGCCCCAACGGCCGCGCCCCGCCCCAACGGCCGCGCCCCGCCCCAACGGCCGCGCCCCGCCCCAACGGCCGCGCCCCGCCCCAACGGCCACAGGGAAAGGGGCAGTCGTGGGTTTCCTCGGCCGTGTAAAAATCCTACTTGTCCTGCAGTGGTGACTGCTGGAGTCTTAATAAAGCAGAAATCCATGTCACGAGGCTGCTTGGAATGGTCGCCTTGGGCTCATTTTAATAGGTCTTGTCCTGTATCTTCATTAATTGATGGTGCTCGTAGGAGAGGAGTGGCAAGGGTCTGAGAGGATAGATCAAGTAATTTGCAGGTGTAAACGGCTACCTCGAAACACACAACTCAGCCCCAGCCACCGTTCCCCTCAACCTAGCTCTGTCCTTGGTCTTTTACATGYTGAGGCCTCATTAAGGTTTCCAATCTACCCCCTAAAAATATCCCTTCCTTTCTAGAAACATCTTCCTTGTGCTTATGAGGGTGAAACGGACTCATTTCCATTTGAAAAGTGGTGATATAAGCAAAGTTAAAAAAATTACTCTCCCGCCTCATTACAGAGCTTTACACATTTTCAACGTGTTTTGTAAGAAAAAAGGTTAAAACACACACCCGAGGTAACTGTAGATGGCGCRTTTCCCCTATTTTCTCCCACAAAACACATTTCACCATTGCAAACATGATGCAGCAGAAAGCTTGCTCAGTCAGTGCTTTCACATGCACAAATACTGAAAAAAATGGCCAACTTACTACAGCTCGAAAATTAAACATATCTGTCAAGAACAGCACTGCAATCTACTCACAGGAAGAAATCATACTGCATCAATGCATATTCCAGAGCTATATGCCCMAAAAAAAAAAAAAAGAAAAAWAAAATGCATTTCAAAAGCTGCTGCAAGTCAACATAGTAATGAAACCATTCATAAATGATACTATTCTTGTGCAGGCAACATTACTAGTCATTTCAATTCAGGACAGAGAGGTGAAATCAGGTCTGACAGCAAGCCGGTGTGCCATGCCCATAATGTACTTGGTCAAAGGAGGCTCTAATCAGTTCCAGGGCAGAGTTTGCAAAGGAAAAACTGCAAACCTCTGCTCCTCCTTTCTTGTTCTACTGTCATCCCTATTTGAATTGCCTGTAGCCAAACAGTCCCAGCAGAGGTTAGAGAGAAATCACTGCAGCAAGAAATCTTGCAAGGAAAGCAAGCTAGCAACAATATAAGTATTTTGCATCTCTGAAGAAAATCCAGGGGACTCTCACAGGCATCCCAATATGATATGAATCAACAGAGCAGCAGTCTGCTAAATATTAGACCAAGGAGGAAAGATGAATTTTGGGGTGGATTAAGCCAGAAGTACTAGGCTTAAAATGCAATAAGAATGAGAGCCATTAGACAGGAGAGAAATATTTCTAGTAAAGAATATTTTATGAACCTTACAGAAATGAAAGAAACATAAAAATATGTCTATTAACATAAGTCTATTAAGTACATATTAAAAACAAAGCCTTAAATATATAAACATATATTTAGAAGACAAAGAAATTATGCAACCAAAACAACATGAAAAGTGTTTTGATAATGCTGTACTCCTCTTTCTGATTCAGGCACATTTGAAAGACCCATCAGCGATGATTTAGACTCTGAAATCTACCCACATTGTGAATTACACTATATGTACAGTAAACTTGCTCATTAAAGGCAACAGAGCTGTGCAAACTACAAAAGAAGAAAATTTAAAAAAAAAAATGGAGACACTTAGAGGAAAAATAAACCCTTTCATAAAAAAAAAAACTAAAAGAAGCCAAAGAACACCAAAAAGATAAATTACAAATGTTTTAAAATGATTCAGATGAAATAGTCCAGATTTCTAATCCTAGACCAGATGTCTTTCTGTTGGAAATATTCCCAAGAGATGATTCTGCTTACCCTAGCTTTTCCTTCTAAATCCTACCACAAATTTTGCATGTGTTTAATTTTTCTAGACTGCTGTGTGAATGTCTAACCACAGTTTTCCACCAGATTTCTTTCTGTGGCTGGAACCTCAGCCTGCTGGCACTATCATCTTCCAAACGGCTGTAAGATTCATTCCRTTTTCCTGCTTGCAGCTCACTAAGCAAGCAGCAAGTTGTGAGGCAGTTACCGACTGGATCATTACGCACACAAATTGCACATATTGAGCTTGTCTGGGAAGGAGGCGGCACTGGTCTGGCTGAGGCAATTTCAGCATAAAAAACAACCCAATCCCTTTTCTAATACTGTCCTCTAGTTCTTTATGCACAGTTCCTATTTATATCTATTTCGGTAGCAACTAGAAAACTAGTTTCGGGATTAAATTTTCATGTTCCAAGTACAGCGCATATAAGTAATAGTTACTTCTGCAGATGTAGGAAGAAAAATCTTCTCTATCACCAGAATAACTCTTCCAGTTAAAAATAAGCAAACTCTGTTGATAAAAATGGTCCCAGATTGGTGCTTCATACTGCCACAATATGCCAGAAACAATTGCAGATATCCAAGATACACTGTGGCTTGAAAAAGGTAACATGTTGCATCGCTTAGTGAAATCGAGTATTAAGTTTTTTAAACAGTGGAGAAAAGCCAAAGAGGAGAAATTTTTTTTCAGGGAAGAGGATATTATAAATAAGTGTATTATATTACAACTATGATTCACAAAAAGGTCCAAGCTTTCACACCACTGATGTGCATGTGATAAACACATTACATATTCCTCTCCAAATTTTGGTTTTTTTTTTTTTGTTTTGTTTTGTTTTGTTTTTTGTTTTTTTAAACCCCAGATAAAATGCTCTGGAACTCATAATTTCTCTTCTGGCTAAATACTAAGACTATTTTGTTAACAGTAATAGTATATGCATTTATCTACCTGTTTCTTGACAGGAGTCAATTAAAGACTGGATTCACTAAAGAGTATCTATCTTCTATCAAATGTTACCTTGGTGAGGTCCTTTGGAAGCAGATCCATCAGCTATTGCAAGTAGCAGAACAGTGAATGCTGTGTACCATGGATATATTCCTAGTAATTCTTAGATTCTTTTAGTTTCCTTTATGTCATACATATGAATGGAAGAATCACCAGGCCTGTTGATGTCGTCTCATCACACCACCATCACGAGAAATGAGGATCTGAGCTTCCCTTATGAACCATGAAATGTCTGACAAGAAATACTGGATCTGGAGTTACATTTGGCAAACAAAAATATGCTTAATTATATCTAGGACACAAGCACACACTTCTCAGAAAATAAAACCACTTAAATAGCATAAGTGAACAGTATAGCTAGCTGAATTTAGTATATTTTGGCTTCTGTTTTCTTTAAGAATTGGGTAGGTTAACACATACTGCCAATATAAATATGGTTCCAGACTCAGCTGTCTATATTTTTAACATATTTTCCTTTGTTAATAAACTGAAGGTATTTTGCCACTTGGCAGCTAAGAAACTCCTTTTTCAAGCTAAATTCCACAATCTTACAAATCAGACAAAGTACAAACAAAAAAAAATCCTCTTGATTATTATGCTTAAAAAAAAAAATCTGAAGGAAAATAAAACTATCCTGGCAAAGGCAACTACTAGTGAGTCTTACTAAGTACAAGAAATCTGAGTAAGATCCACTGAATTATGCCATGAAGACTACACAAATAAAATAATGTCGAAGAGTTTCATCTCATTTACAACATTTTTAGATGAAAAGAAAGTGCTGTTAAATTGATGCATAATTCCAACTATATATTACTATGAGACCAGGATATAGCACCAACAGTTGCAAAATCCTGGTAACTGGATACAGAAGTGCCCATGATTCAAATGAAATCCAGAAAAGCAGTTTGTAGGACTTGGCTTCCCTTTAACAACTGTCAAGCAGCTCGTGGGAACTGAGGGAGCAGTGTCCTGCTCCAGCTGCTCCTCAACAGCTGCCTGACCCAGAAAAAAAACAGTATCACAGACTGGGAGACAAATCACTTTTGCCCATATTGTGCACTGKCCCAAGCCCCGGGGTTGCAGTGACATCACACCAGCCCTGAACTAATAATTTCCTACTGAAATTTCAACATATAAGCTTCCACTTGGGAGCAGCACGCTGCAATGGCATGACTTGTTGGCCTAGAGAGCAGGCAGAGCTTGCTCATGTCCACCTGCAGCACAAACAGGTAAATATTCCCAGAAAAAAATTAGGACTGCTTCCTGTGTTTTCCATGTGAGCCTTTCACTACCTTTCAGCAAGAAATCAGTGAAGCTCTTTTCTGTTAAATACTAATGCTTACCAAATCCATCAAGTTGGACCTTTTCCTGGTAGCATCTTACCACTAAAGAAACTGCAATCTGAGAACAAGACAGGAGATGAGGTAAAAAAAAAAAAAAAAAATAGGAGCCCAGTTCCCAGATCCCTGGCATCCTGGCCACGTGGTGGTGCCGCTTCATTCCCACCCACACTCAGCTGAGCTGCTGCAGCCTTCACCAGCTGCAGGCTTTATAGACTGCAGCTTTTGCAGGCCCACATCCTGCTCTCATCGTTCCCATTACCTGGAGAAAACACTGTTGGGGCAGAATTCTTGTGTTTGACGTTGTCATTATGCAGGCACAAACATTAATCCAAACACTGAAGCTGCAGGAAAAAAAAAAAAGATGCTATCGACATTTTCCAAAGAAAAACATGGATTTTGTCTCAGGAGTGAAGCAAGCTGAATTTCATTCTGTCTACCACTCCAAAGAATTCTGCTGTGCAAGCCAGTGCAGAAGCAAAAGGGGAGCAAAGCATCCTACAGGTTTCAGTTTGCAGCTGTGGCAGCTTCCATCACAAGAGCTTTATGAGCGTCCCCAACTGCTTGTCCAGTCACGGGTCAAGTGACGGCAAGTGCAGGGACCTGTGTGGCAGCATGAAAAGACCTGCTGGGCCAGAGAAATTTTTGCATTGCCTTGACTAAGTATAAATTATTGAATGCTA